TTTTTTTTTTTTTTTTTTTTTTTTTTTTTTGGGTTTTTTTTGCGAGAAGCCACTTGGTCCACAGATGGCAAACAGGCTGTCATTTGTATTCACAGTGATGTTGAAGACAGAAGTGTGTGACATTTCACAAGGAGACGTCTGTGCCCACAGATCCCTGGCTCGCCTTTGTGGGGGGGAAGTGTCACCCATCATGCTGCATCAGTGTTTCCATAATGCGTAGTCAGGGAGCCTATGTTACATGTCTGCTGAAGTTAGATCAGGAAACTCAAGAGGGCCAGTGGTTGTTTATTACACAATTCTGCGGTCACCAAAGAAAAAAAGTCGCAAAGTTGGAGCTGCAATAAAAAAAGCCACTTAAAATAAACAGGAAATAAAACAATTTGATTCATGACACAAAAAGCTTTAGTTTCACATAAAATGTTTCAAAGTCGGGCATTACTACACATCTTAAAGGAATTTGAGCGATACCTTAGCTGTACACCTTTAATGACAATAATGATGTATCGCTGCATGATGATGTCATTAACCTGAGACAGATTGCAATAAGACCATAGCTGTGTCCAAAACGGCAGGCTGGGTCCTCCGAAGGCCGAATTCGTCGGCCGCATACGTCACAGCGCTGCGACGAAGGACGTCCAAAACCGAAAACTCCTCCGATGCGACCGACAAATGCGTCCTTCCTTTTCCTCGATTTGAAGGACAGGTCTGATGGATCCTTCCTGGCCCAGCGTATCCCATAATGCTTTGCGGCCCGACCGGAGATTTTTTTTAAGCTAGTAATGGCGGACGAAGCGAGAGAAAAGAATATGTTTTAAATAAAAATGTGGCGATATAAAAGTTACATTTTTTAGCGGTTTTAATTCTAATACTGTTATCATTTGTATAGACGTGTTTTTAAATATTATTTTTGTCATAAAAAAACATGAAACAAACGTGCACCTACAGCGGGTCAATTAGTTCTTCAAACGTTACCTTTAAGTTAATTTTATAGTTTTGTGATATTAATAATGCTAATATATTGATATTTTTCTAGTTTTGATTTAAGTTAGCTTGTTTAGTGTTGTCACAGTTGTTAGGTGACATGACGTAAGGACGGGACGCTAGACCGTCCAAATTCACAGCCTCTTTTTTTCCGGTCTTACCGGTCTACCAAGGACCCAGCCCACCTCGATCGGGTAGTCCCGGCCTGTCGTTTTGGACACAGCCCATGGCTGTGTCTCAATTCAGGGGCTGGGTCCTCATGAGCGCGCATTTGTCGGCTGAATATATCATTGCCCCGCGCGGAGGACTGTCTCAATTTGAAGATTTCTCATCATGCGACCGAGGAATGTGGCCGACAAACTCGAAATCCATGTATCCTCACTGGCCGAGGATGTCCCACGGTTCAATGCGCGGGCAGCAAAATAAACAGAGAAATTAAGACTTTTTGACAAGTCGGCGTAGTTTGGAAATTCACCACAGACCAAAGAATTTGTTTTTAAAAGTAATTTGTTCTATAGTATTGCTTAAAAATAAATAGTTAATCTTTTAGCCCATTAGCATCAAATTACCAGTCACAGGACTTGGAAATTGTGCAAATGACTACATGATAAACTGAAGCTGTATTGTAATTACTGGACGCATTGACAGATTTAGTCGTCACGTAGCTAATTTGGATGAAAACATTAATCTAATAGTGACCCAAGTCATCGTGGACTACTATATAAACATAGACACATGGCTGTACACAGCAGGTGTGGGGAAAATAAGGAGGAAATGACACGTCACGTAAGATTATGACTTTTTTTCTCATAATATATGACTTTGTTGTCGTAATAATAAAAAATATATTTTTGTGTGGCCCTAATACTCCGTTGTAGATGCTGGAGCGAAACTCGAATTATTAATGTTTTTCTTTTATTTATTTATGTGTAATGTCTTAACTGTGAAGTTATTCTTCCAGTAAAAAGACGTGTAAAYACACGTCCCGACACATAGTCTGATATGAAACTGATCACTATGGTATCAGAGTAGCACTTGGTCACGCAAACTCCTACACATTCTCACTCCCGACTCGTCACATATTGACGCTTTTCCAAAGTTCCCTCTGCGTCTTACTTTGACGCATCAGGTTGTAATCGACATAGGGCGAATTTGTCAGCAACTTATGTCGCTGCTCCATAACTGTAGACTATCTCAATTCATAGGCACCTATCAACGCCCAAAAACCTAGGCTGCATCTTAGTATCCTATATATCTATGAGATCCCAGTATTCAGCGTGAACTAAACAGAGGGAGGTATTATGTACTTTTGTATTTTCCAGGCACATAGGACAGTTCACCGCAGTCAGCTGTTATGAAAATTCTTTGTATTAAAACTAAATTTGCATCRTAGCCAAAATGCCTTGAAATTGGCATCTGTCTTTTTAAGAACCGCCTACCATTTCAGACACTCACAGGTGTATTCTGGGGCGGGAGCTTGGCTGTCGACTGAGCTCCAGAGAGGTGCTTTGGGTAAATAGGCGGTCCTTTGTACCAGCAAGCGATTAGGCAGCTCTACATGGCCAGAGGTGTCAAGTAACTAAGTACAAATACTTTGTTACTTTACTTAAGTAGTAATTTTGGTTATTTATAC